AAACCCTGTTCGAATCATAAAGGCCCGGCCCCCTATGTGAACGCTCAAATCGCCTAGGCATGATAACATCTCCGCAACGCCATGAGCCCCTTGGAGCCCCAAACCTGCAGCATCTAATTGCGAGCCCCAAACCAGCCTCGTAATCTTATGATCTATATATATATATATGTATNNTATGTATGTGTATATATATGTATACATACATACATTCATACATGTGTATATATATGTATATATATATATGTATATATATGTATGTATGTATGTATGCATTATATAGTTACAAGCATGCATGTATACGTACGTACATACATACGTCCATACAGACTTACCTGTAAACGAGTTGTTTGGCGGTGACAAGTTGTGGCATGAAAGACTATATATTCGGAGGATCCTTTATGCAGCCACAACCGTGCTCGTAACGGAGGGGATCGGCCCAGCGTGGGCCTCGGCTCACAGTGGACAGCCACAATCGTCGCGTCAGTCATTGCGCGATTCACTGTCCGTCACTCTGGCGAGCTCTCGACTACCCGGACACCGTGGCTGTTCAGCTCCGATTTGGCTGGCACTGCCTGAAATCTCGTGCGATCCGTATGGCCTGCACGCCTCCACGCCGAGGCCCGGGGCATGCCGGATGCTGTACTACGTGGCAGCGTCGCACAGCACCGAAGCTGTAAGCCCAGCGACCGTCGAGAGGCGCAACTCTCAACCCTGCACAGCCCCCTCGATACCAAAGCAGACATTCCGTTTGTGGCGTGAGTCTTAGGATTACATGGTTTGGAAAATCTGGGCTTTAGATGTTCAAGCTCCATCGTGACGCAGCTGCTCTGACTCGTTATTGGGAAGGAGTTCTATAAGGTTTATAGGGTTTGGGGCTTTTCGGGTTTAGGTAGTTGAGTTGGGTTTGCAGCACATGATCATGAAACCGATAAGCCTCAAACCTCAGCTCCCACCATTAAGCCCAACCCTGGCAGGGGAGAAAAAATATAACCTTGAACCCTAAGCCTTCAGCCCTCTAAACCTGTATTAACAACCGTTACACCCCGAACCCCAATCCCTAGGGCTTCTCTTGCAGCCATATACGCTTTACGCCCCAACCCCCGACCCCATTTTTAACGTCCGTTCCCGCTCCAGGCAACAGCCTCAGAGCGGTCATCCTTGCTGCTTTGTGGCATTGGTTTCTTCAGCATGGGTCTCTAAGTTCGGGTTTAGGAGTTGGAGCTGTGGGTGTATCGTTTCGGGTTTGGGGCTTACTGTTTCCAGTTTGGGGTTTTGGGTGCAGGGCTTTGGGTTTCTCTCTCTGCGGGAGGTCCTCACACTAAGGATCCTACTTTTGGAATCCATCTTGCGCGCAAATTGAAATGCTACAGCCAAACAGGCTGTCCGTACTGGTCGCTGTGCAGGGCGTAGAACTTTGGGGGTTCCGCCTGTGCAGTCTAAGGAGTCTAAGGGTAGGGGCAGCATCGCCTGGTTCCCATTGAATTCAGCACAGAGTGTACCACTGCTACGAAAAGTGCTACATAGCGTGGCTACATTTGACTACCCCTCGCGGATCCTCCCTCGTGGCATCACGGTAGGGGTACAGGAATGTAACGGGGGTTCTCCACTTCATATTCATTTCTCTCTGCATGACATGAAGGACGGAGGTTGGTGGCGTTGTTGGGGCTAAGTCATTCTGAGCTGTTGTCCCTGGATGGTTGCTCTTCCTAATGTTCAAGCTTCGTGGCTGTATTCTACAGGTGTGGACGGCTTTCAACGGAACCCTAGACCCAAAAGCCCAACCCCCGAACTTTGAATCCCAAATCCTAAACACAAAACCTCAAGCATAACCCCAACCCTCAAACTTACCTAAACCCTAAAGCCTAAACGCCGAAGCAAAAAGAGCAGCTTACCTCTCCAAGGCGCTTCCACGGTAGTGGAGAGCGGACAAAGTCCTAGTCGGTCGCTCATGTCTCACCCGGAGACTCCCTTGTGCTTCAAATGAAAAAGGGATGCTTACCAGAACTAACCAGGGGTATATTCCCTAATCAAAGGCTTCGGGTGCCTTTATCAAAGGTTTAAGATATCTTCCTTAATAACAAGTTTAAGATACATAAACCTTAACTCTAAGGGGTGAGGAGTCCCTCAGCTGGCCCTCAGGGAAGTTGTGCCAGCGCAGCGGCCAAAGCGAGAGCATCGAAAGTGGACGCAAAATGCCCAATGTAGATGCTTGAGGGTTTAGGGTTTTGTGTCTAGGGTCTATAAGATCTAGGGCTAAGGGGGTCAGGCTCCAAAAGGTTTAGGGTTTACGGCTTGCAGGTGTAAGGATTCATGGTAGACCCCTGAATGATAAACACCCTTTTCCCAAGCCCCAAATCAGTCGGATCCTCATGGTGATCCCTAACCCCAGGTACCTACTATATAGGGTACTAGAGAGCCCCTAGGGCTCTATATAGCAGGTACCTGGGGGGTTAGGTATAAAGTCTCATTAAAAGAGGAGGGTTTATAATTCAGGGGTCTACGTTAACCTAAACGGAAGCAGGCCGAGGGGCTAGGCTTCCAATTCATGGGCGCTGCTTGCGGTTTAGGGTTTATATGGTTTAGGGTAGGGTTTAGGGTTTAGAGTTTAGGGTTTGTGGAATTCATGCACATGCTCGTGAAGCAAGTGCCGCAGAAACAAACGAAAATTCAAGCCTGCATGAATTCCATGATTCTCCCTTGACTTGGAGTTGCCTATCATATTTGCAGTATATTGTAGTGCACGATACCCCAAACACTGTTGAAATTAGCTACGCTTCTGCAGCTTTCCTCTCGCAAAGCAAAGCAAAGCAAAGCAAAGCAAAGCAAAGCAAAGACGACACTACGCATCAGCAAACGCAAACCATGTGCGATGGGCAAGCGGCTAAAGGCATTGAAGCCGAACCCTGGTAAACAAACCATAGGCCATTCGCCGTCCCTAAACCGTCAAAGCCCTAAACTCTGAACTCTGAACCCTTCAGCACTTGTCAGAGACCCCGGAAAGACTTGAAGGAGCACAGACTCTAAGTGAACCCAATGACCTGAGATTCTCAGACCCTACCCATAGGACCCTAAGTAGTTTCCTTTTATGGTCTATATTTAGAGTTTTATAAGGTAACCCCAAAAAGGAACGACTTAGGGGGCCTATGGGTAGAACCTAAACCCTAAACCCTTGAACCCCCCCAAAGAGGAACTATTTGGGGGGGCCTATGGGTAGTGAAATTCCAGAACTTCCTTCCCTCAGAAGCCATGGAGTCGTCTTCTTCGGATTCTGACGATGACGATGGCTGCATAGACCGTCGGAAGAAGTCCCTTGGCGGTGTTTGCATCAGGGCGTGGCTCTCGGGTGGTTTGTACAGAGCTCCGGTCAGCTTTGCTGAATGCCCAGGGTGTCGGAGCTTTAGGACTTTAGGATTTATTCTTAGGGTATGAGGTTTCCTTTTCTGGGGGCGGGGGGGGGTTAGGATTTAGTCTTTAGGGTTTAGGGTCTAAGCTGTTGAAGCTTTGTAGGCTTGGCATTGCTCAGCAGCGACAGCTACCGAAGCCACAAACGCACCTCAACGAACCATAAAGCTTGCTCCGACATCTCAAACTTCCCCAAGCGCCAACCTCCACGACCCTAAACCTTCAGCCATGAAACCTTAACCCCCGGCTCTTCGGGCTTAGGGTGACCTAAGGCCCAAAGGTTGTTAACATCCGTTACATCTCAGGCCACTGGCTTGGGGAGTGGTCGTCTTTGCTGCTTTGTGGCTCGGTTCGGATGTGTCCAAAGGGGTGGATGAATGAAAACTATGCCGAGTTTACGCTTTAGGCCGGTTCTAAACAGTTTCGCACTTCTATATTAGGATCCTACTATTTAGAGTTGTTCTCGGTATCTCCCTCTTTTTCTGTCCTGGAGAAGTTAGACTTGAAAGCTTAACCCAATTTTAAAACCATGATTCTGATTGTGGTTCGATTGTTTCCAAGATTGCCATCGCTAGATAGGAAAGAAAGGCGAGCCTTATGACAACGACGATGACAATGGTGAGGACCATCATCACGATGCCTGCGTTTGTTGAAGCCGTTTTTGGTGGTGTAATGCGTGCAGACCTGCAATGAACAGGGCGTCCATTTTGTCCCGCTACAGCTAAGCCGGCGCAACGCTCAAAATCTTCAAACCGACGGGGAAGGGCAGTTGGAACGTCCAATATTGTCCGAAACTTACGGCAACACCCTGAAATCTGCATCCTTCATCATAAATCATCCGTGTAGCACACAGCTTAAATCCTAAATAGAACTACTGCTGCTGCTGCTGCTGCTACTACTACTACTACCACCACCTACTACTACTACTACTACTACTACTACTACTACTACTACTACTACTACCGACGACGACGTTGATGACTGTGACGGCGACGACTGCGACGGCGACCTGCCAGTAGCCAGTGCTCCGAAAC